GGAACGTAAGAAGGAACGGGAAAGCCACCACTGGAGGTGGGCGTCTAAGGAACCTGCAGCCTCTAGCTCTGTTCCCGGTCCTCCCACCCTTGGGCTCATCACCACTGGTCAGGCCTCTGGCCAATACTTGGCCTATCTCTGTGATTTCAGTTTTCCCATCTGATGAGTGGAATTAACAAAATATGCCCAACTTACAGCAAAGAGAGAGCACAAGACTAATAAGGAACATGGAAGTGTGGTAAGACTGAAAAGGGGAAGCAGATAGGAGCCAACGATTCTATTCTTAAAATTAGGATTGAAGGCCAGGTGCGGTGGCTCACACCTGTCATCTCATTCCACTTTGAGAGGCCAAGGTGGGTGGATTGCTTGATCTCGGGAGTTCGAGACCGGCCTGGGCAACATGGTGAAACCCCATCTCTACCAAAAATACAAAAATCAGCCGGGCGTGGTGGCACGCACCTGTAGTCCCAGCTACTCGGGAGGCTAAAGTGGGAGGATCACTTGAGCCCAGGAGGTCAAGGGTGCAATGAGCTGTGATGGCACCACTGCACTCCAGCCTGGGTGACAGAGTGAGACCCTGTCTCAAAACTAAAATAAATAAATAGATAACAATTTTTAAAAGTTGTGTGTGTGTATGTGTTACAGTGAGGGATACTCACTGTATCCCTTGGTTACAGGGAGGGATACAGTTACAGTGTTGGATACAGTGAGGGACTGGTTACAGTGAGGGATACAGACAGAAGAACTGGAATTCCACTGACAGCCTAAGTCCCTTGGGAGCAGGTGTTTCTTCAAGACCTTATCACAGCCACAGCCTGAAGCTCAGAGTCTCTCACACAGTAGGTGCCCAATTGATGAGCTGCACTCAGCCAGCCTTCGAGATGACCCCCAACATGACCCCCAGTGATCTTGCTTCCCAGCCTTCTCAGCCTTGTGTGGAATCCTTCCACACTGCATCTAGGACCACAGAATACAGCAGAAGTGATGACATGCCGCTTTCAAGGCTGGGTTATGAAAGGCACCATGGCTTCTCTCTTGGTTATGTTCTCTGTCTGTGTTTCTCTGTCTCTCTGTTTCTATCTCTGTATGATCACTTGCTCCAGGAGAAGCCACCTCCTGAGCAGCCATTTGGAGATGCCCATGTGGAGAGGAACAGAGGCCTCCAGCGCACAGTCACATAAGAGAACATGAAAGCAGTTCCTCCACCCCAGTCCGGTCTTCGGAGACCACTGCCCCAATTGACAGCTCAACTATAATCTCACACGTGTCCTCGACACTCAGAATAATGAGCTAAGCTGCTCCTAAATCTCTGACCCTCAGAAACTATACATGTATGTTGTTTTAAGCTGTTAAGTTCTGGGGCTACTTGTTATCCAGCAATAGGTAACTAATACACCACCCATGCACATCTCTGCCTCCTGGCTCTGCTGAGTTGGGGCTAGGGTCAGCCTTCCCCTAAGCTGCCTCCAGCAGTCAAACCCCTTCTCTGCCTCTCACCTCTCTGGTTCCCATTTCCTCCCTCCCTTGCAGACCACCTCTCTGCCCCTCCCTCAGCAAGGGCCAGTGACAGGGGCCAGCACAGACCCCAATGAAGGAAAGGAAAGGGCCACAAGAACCGTGATTTCACCTGGTCCTTGAAATCAGGGGACTCATGGCTCTGTCTCCTGGCATGAGATGGAATCTTGGCCTTGCTCCCACCATATTGACTCAGCCTCATTTCCTGAGAGGCAGAGGCCCTCACCCAACCTCCTTTCCCCTCCATCCTTCCAATCCCACCACAAAGGAGCCATGCTACCACTTACTTTCTCCAAGCTGCCTAGGGATCATCACTCTCCTAGTCCCATCAGATGCACCTCAGCACTGGGGGCTGGATTCTTCTGTGGGCCATTTCCCACCAACAAATGCAACCGCCACAGCTTAGCAGGAGTTCCTGCAGAAGACAGAAAAGCCCTGCTGGCTTCTCACATCCAGGATGTCTGCCTCCAGTTGCCCACTGGATGGAAACTTCTTCCATTTCTTAAAGACTCAAACTGCCCAGAATCTCCTGGCCCCCCTGCTGCTGACTGCCCTCACTCCTGCACCCGCATCCCATTCTCCAAAGAGCTCACAATGGCAGCCAGCAACTGGCAGGGCTGCCTCTTCCTTATGAATTTTGTATTTTTAGAAAAGTGATGCACACATGCAGTGTACAGTCCAAACAGTTATGCAGCATTCTCTCCCCGTCTCTCTCATTCCAGAGTCCAGGGGCCACCGCTTTCCTTCTTTAAATCTGCTTCTGAAAACATAAGGAGATACGGCTATTTTTATTCATTATATTTTGACATTATTTGTTGACTTTCTACCATAATAGTGGTGATTCGACACTTGCTATTCACTGTATTCCCACTTTCCTCCCCCACCCATCATCCCAATATATCTTTAGATCATAATTTGGGGTTAATAATCAGTGTTTACCTTACTAGGACTATCAAATTGTGTTAATTGCAGAGCCCAATAGTGTGCAATGAACTTGTTCCTTTCTCATTATCCACTCCTGCCGCCTGCACCAGAGGAAAATGCTTCCTTCTGTCAAGTTGTCAATGTCCTTAAGGCTAACTTTCCCCCAGATGCTTCCACATTTCTGCCAAACACCTATCAACAACTGCTTCAAACTCCAACACATCCCATAGGCTGGCAGTTCCCCTTCCCTGGAGGCCTTCTTCCCAGGGCCCTCTGACTTCCTGTTCTGTTATTACCAACTGTTACCTTGGGGCCTCTCTTGGCCTGCCCGTTGGGCTAGGTCCTGCTTCCTGCACCCCAGGTCCTCCTGTCTCTTGGTTTACTTGCTTGTTTGGGTGGCACGCATCCTCCAGTATCTCTTGAGGCAAGGGTTTTAAAGATGTTGCATGCCTAGAAATGCAGTTATACTATTTTATACTTGAAAAATAATTTGGAAAGATATAGAAATTTAGGTGGAAAATGATTTTCCATCAAAATTTCAAAGGCATTATTCCATTGTCACCTGTCTTCCAGTGCTGCCATTGTGAAGTCTAATGTCATTTCATCCTTAAATCTTTGTGTGTATTGTTCTTCTCCCCTGCAACCTCCAGCTTACAAGGCTTTCTCTTCATCCTGAATGCTTTCAGATCGTATGGTGACACGCCTTGGTGTAGAATTCTAAAATGATGGCCCTTAACAGGCTTTTTCCATTCAGAGGCTCCCATTCTTCACTTGGTAATTTTCTTGTATTATTTATTTTAAAATGTCTCCCCCTTGTCTCTGGTCTCACCTTTTGTAACTCTAATTAGTGGCACCCCGAATCATCTGATTGACATGCTAGTTGTCTTTGGTGTCTTATTGTCAATCTCTTTGTCTTTTTTCTAGCAATTTTCTTGACTCCACCTTCTATCCTATTTATTAAATGTCCTCTTTCTTGAGCTTTGATGATCCCTTGATCCCTTTTTCCTAGAATGCCAATCTTGTGTGTGTGTGTGTGTGTGTGTGTGTGTGTGTGTGGTCTTGCTCTGTTGCCCATGTTGGAATGCAGTGGCGTGATCTCAGCTCACTGCAACCTCCACCTCCCGGGTTCAAGTGATTCTCCTGTCTCAACCTCCTGAGTAGCTGGACTACAGGCATGGGCCACCATGACTGGCTAATTTTTGTATTTTAAGTAGAGATGGGGTTTCACCATGTTGGCCAGGCTGGTCTCAAACTCCTGACATCAGGTGATCTGCCCACCTCGGCCTCCCAAAGTGCTGGGATTACAGGCATGAGCCACCATGCCTGGCCTAGAATGCCAATCTTGTTTCCTGGATGCAATCTACTCTGTCAGCTCCCAAGAATGTGACTGATAGGGGCTTCATGTTAAGCTTTGCTCTGCCCCTTCCCTCTGCTTCCTCCGAGTGCCTCTTCCCTACGTGTTCCTGGTTGTGCTGCATGTTGGTTGCTTCACTCCTGTGTTCAATGACCACGGACAGTTGGTTCATCTCCAAGGGCACAGCCCTGAAGAGCTCACTGAAGACTTCTTGCTGGCAGGGGATGATTTTAGACCGGCGGCTATAGCAGATTTTTTTTGGGCAACCCTCACCTGCAAACATGTTTAGGTCTCCTCTTGAGGGACATGTGCCCTGCCTGGGGCATGTAGGTCATGCTGCCAACTTCCTGGGAGCAGAGTCGGGAGGGGGTCTTGGGGATCTCCTCAGCGTAGGCGAAGTCTTTCTTCTTATACCTGGACCCCTTTTTAGTCCAGAGCCCCACCTCCGCCTTCTGCTGTCCTTCAGTGCCTGAGCCCAGAGCCACCTCTCTACAATTTCCCCAAAGAATAAACTTCCAGGCTCGTCTGAGGCATGCCGTGGAAGGAACCTGGGATCTCAACAGCTTCCCAGAGTGCGGATCAAGCCCTCTGGTTTGGCCCCCACTGCTCCTGCCCCATGGCCTCTGTAGTGCCAGCTGCCTCCATTTGCCCAAGCTTCTGGGTCGGGCCAAATGAATGGCCCTGATTATTAGCAGCATCCTCCCTCCTTGCCTTCACCTGTCCTTGGGTCCTAGCTTCGTCCCGTCTGTTCCCCTCACTCACATCTCAGTCTACCTATCAGGAAAATGGGGATAACAGTGGTTCCCACCTCCTGGGATTGCTGTGAAGAATAAATGAGCTCAGGGTGGTGTCATCATCGCCAAGATGGAAATGACCTGGGCAGCCCCTCAGGCAAGCCCTGTCCCCAGCATGTGTTCTGTTCTGCTCACACAAACCCAGAAAGAGGAGCCAGCCAGGTGACAGTATGAAACACACATGCTGAGTGTGCAGAGCCAGGAACTCTGTTCCCTGCACGTGCTCCAGGCCCTGCCAATGGTGCATGACCAGTCACCAGCCAAGCATGGCGCTGAGAACGTATGTGGCCTCCCTGAGGCTTTGCTCAGTCCCCTCCCTCCACACCCACGGAAAGAGGTGTGCACACATGCAAAATAGCAATAATAATAGTATGAGATGGCAGCTGAGACCTGTGCGACTGATGACAGTTTGAAAGAAGGATGAGCAGGCTCTCTGCCATCTGCCCACCGACTTTTCAAGTTACTTTTACCCACCTTCAAAATTACATCTGCTTTTAGCAAGAATTACTGATGTGATAAAGATGGGAGTGTTCACCATGCAAGGGCAGGTAAGTTGCTCTGTGCCATTGGGGGTTTAACCCTTAAAAGGAGAGGGGTCTCCCTTCAGCTGCTGCAGGATCCTGGTAGAAGACGGCACAGATGACATGAAAATCCAGGGAGCCATGCCTGCTGCTGGGATCTGGGCTCACCCACCTCCTGCCCCTACCCAAAACTGTCAGGACACGAAGCCTTGCCCGGAGCCTCAAATGCCCAGGGGCTTGGCCAGGCCACAGACTGTGCAGTGGAATGTGTGTACACTGCCTGCTTCATCCCACAGCTGTGCCTGCCATAGGTTACCCAGCAGCAGTGGGCACGTACAATTCAGCTGAATTCAGGGAAGCCAGCAAGTGCTGGGGAATTTCAATGGATGACCTCAGCACGGTCAGGTGTCTGTTTAGAAAAATATACATGGCCAGGCGTGGTGGCTCACGCCTGTAATCCCAGCACTTTGGGAGGCCAAGGAGGATGGATCACAAGGTCAAGAGATCTAGACCATCCTGGCCAACATGGTGAGACTCCGTCTCTACTAAAAATACAAAAATTAGCTGGGCTTGGTGGCGCACACATGTAATCCTAGCTACTCATGAGGCTGAGGCAAGAGAATCACTTGAACCTGTGAGGCAGAGGTTGCAGTGAGCTGAGATGGCACGACTGCACTCCAGCCTGGTGACAGAGCAAGACTCCCTCTCAAAAAAAAAAAAAAAAGTAAGAGAAAAATATACACTTACGAGGGTGAGGCAGGAGGATCACTTGAGGTCAGGAGTTCGAGACCAGCCTGGCCAACATGGTCAAACCCTGTCTGTCTCCACTAAAAATACAAAAATTAGCTGGGTGTGGTGGTGCATGCCTGTAGTTCCAGTTACTCAGGAGGCTGAGGCAGGAGAATCGCTTGAACCTGGGAGACGGAGGGTCCAGTGAGCAAAGATTGGGCCACTGCACTCCAGCCTGGGTGACAGAGCAAGACTCCGTATCCAAAAAAAAAAAAGCAAACAACAACAAAAGAACATTTAATGTACACGATGTGGTAGAAGAAAAGCACTTATTAGTGAGAATCACCGCCTCCTCCTAAGAAGAGGGTGTCCCCTACTGCAGAGTGCTTTGCTTCTTAATCAGGCTCAGGAGGGAGGGCCTGAGGCCATTGAGACCATGCCTGGAACAAGGAGGCAGACAGCCAGGCTGGTGACTACAGAGGGCCACCCACACACAGGGGGTGGAGCCAGCACCTCTGTGCTCTGCCTGTGAAGTGGCTGGCAGTCCTTCCCAGGAGGGTGTGAGCTGAGGTGTCCTGGGTGCACCAGCTAGCCCACGGCACAGAGCCTGCCTGCTGGTCTCTACCCACAGGGGATCCCCTGCTGCTCCAGCATCAGATTTGGGACGCCCCCCTTGCCCCAACCAGAGGGCATCAGCGACGCCTAGGTAAGTGCTCATCTTAGGGACAAGTAAGAACATAATCAACTGCAGAAATGTCTGCAGGTCTGGTAGGCTCTGCCTCTGCTGCCCCATGCAGACCTCAGCCCAGGGCACCTGTCCTGGTGCTGCGCTGGCTGTGTTGTGGATCTGCCCCTCCAGGGCTGGCCTTGTAGACCCTGACCCAGGGAGCAGCTGGGCTGGCCCCACGTACAACCAGCAGCAGGCAAGGGTGGGACAGAGCCAGACTGCAGCCTCCCCCAGGCATGGCTTTGACTGTTTTAAAAAACTTAAAATGGCCGGGCATGGTGGCTCACCCCTGTCATCCCAGCACTTTGGGAGGCCAAGGTGGGTGGATCACCTGAGGTCAGGAGTTCAAAACAAGCCTGGCCAACATGGTGAAACCCCGTCTCTACTAAAAATTCAAAAATTAGCTGAGTATGGTGGCAGATGCCTGTAATCCTGGTTGCTCAGGAGGCTGAGGCCCAAAAATTGCTTGAACCCAGGGGGCAGAGGTTGCAGTGAGTGGAGATTGCACCACTGCACCCCAGCCTGGGCGACAGAGTGAGACTGTCTCAGAAAAACCCAAAAAAACAAAAGAACTAAAAATGTCCTTCATGCTTGGAGTCAAACATTCAAACAGAATAAAGGAGACAATGGGAATGTTACCTACCCCAGACCCCAGGTCTCTTACCTGGCGGTCTCAGTCAGCTCAGGCCACTATGAAAAAGGATCACAGACTGGGTGGCTTATAAATAGCAGGCATTTATTTCTCATAGTTCTAGAGGCTGGAAGTTCCAGATCAAGGTGCCCGTATGGTTGGCTCCTGGGGAGGGCTCTCTTCAGGTTGCAGTTGGCCACATGGCAGAGAAAGAGGAAGAGAGCTTGGGGTCTCCATCCTCTTGACCTAACCTCTCAAGGGTCCCACCTCCTAATGCCATTGCACTGGGGCTGATAATTTCTACATATGAATTTGCGGGGAGGAGTACAGAAACATTTGGTTCATAGCACCGGAGGAAACATACGAATGTCCATGTTTTATGCATCCTACCAGGAATTTCTGTGTGCACACACACATACACTCATTCGAACAAATGAGATAAGTCTAGAACATACCCTCTAGCTTCCTCTTTTTCACGAAACAATATACTCTGAAGATTGCTGCATTTCACAGACCTAAATATACCTCCTTCTTTTTTTTGTTTTAGACGGAGTTTCACTCGGAGTTGCCGAGGCTGGAGTGCAATGGTGTGATCTCGGCTCACTGTAACCTCCGCCTTCCAGGTTCAAGCGAGTCTCCTGCCTCAGGCTCCCGAGTAGCCAAGATTACAGGCGCCCGCCATCACGCCCGGCTAGTTTTTGTATTTTTAGCACAGATGGGGTTTCACCATGTTGGTCAGGCTGGTCTCGAACTCCTGACTTCAAGTGATCCACCTGCCTCAGCCTCCCAAAGCGCTGGGATTGCACCAGGAGAGCCACCACGCCCAGCCACCGCCCTCTTTTTCAATGACTGCATGGTAATGCAGACCTGACCTAGGGATGTGATGTAATTAATCCTGATAGTTCTTAAGTTGTTCCTATCCTTTTCCAATCACTACAATGCTTTGATGAGCTTCTGTATTACATGTCTTGACAAGACTGTGAAGTGGGCTTGCCGGGCCAGAGCACATATGTGTGCGGTTCTGCTAAATGTGACTACATTCCCCCATGGAGCATGTCCCTTCAGCTCACTCGAAAGGCCATTGTCAAAGTTTGGAACTTGCTGATCTGATAGTGGAAAGTAGGATCTCATTGATATTTCAGTTTGCGTTTCTCTGATTGTGATGACACTCAGCATATTTTAAAATGTTTAGAGGCATTTTTCTTCTCTGTGAAGGATTTCTTCCCGTTGCCCATTTTTCAATTCAGTTGTTGGATTTCTTTCTTTGATTTATAGTGGCCCTTTGCCTGTGCCATAAGTTACATATATTATTATGCATAAGATTCTGTTTTCACATACACTTAAGTATACCTTATTCTTTTTCATGACTGCAGGGTAAATTCCATCTTAGGAATGTGCCATATTTTTTTTCTATTTATCTTTTTTTTTTTTTAACTTTAAGCAGGATGTTTTCTGCCATGCAGATATATTTTTTTCTTATCTGGTAGAATAAATCAATTATGTTGCTATGGCCACAGGGTTTTGCAAGATCATTAAAGAGTTCAACCCTCTCCGAGATTACAGGTGTGTGTGTGTATGTGTGTTTGAGACAGTCTTGTTCTGTCACCCAGGCTGGACTGCAGTGGCACAATCTTGGCTCACTGCAGCCTCCACTTCCTGGGTTCAAGCAATCCTCCTGCCTCAGCCTCCTGAGTAGCTGGGACTGCAAGCACACCACCATGCCCAGCTGACTTTTGTATTTTTAGCACAGTAGGAATTTCATCATGTTAGCTGGGCTGATCTCAAACTTCTGACCTCAAATGATCTGACCGCCTTGGCCTCCCAAAGTGCTGGGATTACAGGCTTGAGTCACCGCGCCTGGCCAACAGTTGTTTTTTTTTTTGTTTTAATCATTTTCTTCCGGTATTTTTTTGGTTTCCATCTTTGATCCATCAGGCTTCTTCTGGAGGGAGTGGCCAGCATGACTCCATAAAGCCACATCCCCAATATAGTAAAAGGCTGTCTGGAAGGCTGTCTGGGCCCCAGCTTTGCACCCCACGGTCAGGTCACTGTGTCTGGGTGGAATTGTCCCCTAAACACAGTCCCACTGAGAGGTGAAGCCAACGGGACTTCCTGGGTCCAATGGGGAGTTGGAGAACTTTTGTGTCTTACAAGAGGATTGTAAAACGAACCAATCAGTGCTCTGTAAAATGGACCTATCGGCGCTCTGTAAAATGGACCAATCAGCAGAATTCTAAAACTAACCAATCCCAGCTAGGATTGAGAAAAGGGCATTCTGATAGTACAGGAACAGGACATGGGAGGGGACAAATAAGGGAATAAAAGCTGCCTCTCCCCTCCCCCAAGCCAGCAGCGGCAACCTGCTCGGGTCTTCTTGGATGCTGTGGAAGCTTTGTTCTTTTGCTCTTCACAATAACTCTTGCTGCTGCTCACCCTTTGGGTCCTTGCGGTCTTTGAGAGCTATAACACCCGGAAGGCCCAGGGTTCCATTCTTGAAATCAGCCAGACCACGAACCCACCCCAAGAAACCAACTCCAAACACACCGCTCGCTCCTATTACAAGCACAATGTTCTCAGAGCTGGGAACTGGGCTCAGGCTGGCTTCCAATTGGTCACGCTGGCGGAGGAAAGGCCCACCGCGCTGTGTGAGGTGAAGGCAAGGCCGCTCTAGGTTTGTGCCGCCTGGTTTTTGCCAGCCCCTCTTTCTCCATCTCCCCCAGGGACACCACCACCGTTCATATGTGAGCTGCTGCTTTGTGTCAGGAGCTGCTATGGCCCAGGATGGGACAATGGGCGCACTTGGGAGGGCCTGCATCGTGGCACATTGCAGGGGCCTCGCTGAGTCTAGTAGAGAATCCGGCCTGAGCCCTGGCCAGCAGTGGGAGCCATCCAGGACCTGGGGAGGGAAGGCAACTGCCAGGGGGAACGGTACGTACAAAAGGGTGCCCCGCAGGGCACAGCGGGCCACTGAGGACCGAGTCTAGCGGTGCCTACCGAGATCCACTGCTGAGACCACGACGCAGCACACAAGGCACACAGTCCCAGGCAAAACCGAGCGAAATAGAGGACCCCCTGCACACCCGTCGGCCAGGCACAGCGCAGGCGCAAGAACGCAACCACCCAGACCTCACACCCAAAGAGCGAGAGCTGGCGGACCTTGTGCGGCAGGCCAGCGCCTCGGGGAACGGCCGGGTTCTGGCACCTGTCGTGCTCAGGCTCCAGTTCTGACTTAAAAACTCTGATGCTCACGCCTGTAATCCCAGCAGTTTGGGAGGCAGAGGCCCACGGATCACGAGGTCAGGAGTTCGAGACCAGCCTGGCCAACATGGTGAAATCCCGTCTCTACCAAAAATACAAAAATTAGCTGGGCTTGGTGGGCACCTGTAATCCCAGCTACTCTGGGAGGCAGGAGAATCCCTTGAAACTGGAAGGTGAACCAAGATCACCCCACTGCCCTCCAGCCTGGGAGAAAGAGTGAGACTCTATCTCAAACAACAACAACAAACTCTAATGCTGTTTTCTCATCTATAAAAGGTGGTGACACTACAGCAGCCACTGACTCTGTGAACCCTCAGATCAGCAAGCACTTCTTGGGTGGGTGTGTTACAGGAGAGGGGTCCCAATCCAGATCCCAAGGGATGGTTCTTGGATCTTGGGCAAGAAAGAATTCAGGGCGTTTCCACAGAATAAAGTGAAAGTAAGTTTATTAGGAAATTAAAGGGGTAAAAGACCGGCTACTCCATAGACAGAGCAGCCCCAAGGGCTGCGGTTTGCCCATTTTAATGGTTATTTCTTGAATATATACTAAACAAGAGGTGGATTATTCATGCCTCCCCTTTTCAGACCATATAGGGTAACTTCCTGATGTTGCCATGGCATTTGTAAACTGTCATGGTGGTGGTGGGAGTGTAGCAGTGAGGACGACCAAAGGACACATCTTGTTGCCATTTTGGGTTTTAGCCAGCTTCTCTACAGCAACCTGTTTTATCAGCGTGGTCTTTATGACCTGTATCTTGTGCCGACCTCATATCTCATCCTGTGACTTAGAATGCCTTAACCGTCTGGGAATGCAGCTCAGTAGGTCTTAGCCTTATTTTACCGGCCCCTGTTCAAAATGGAGTTGCTCTGGTTCAAATGCCTCGGACAGGTGCAGAGGGAGGGTGGTGAGTGGAGCCCACCCACCACCAAGTCACACGCACCCACACTCCTGAATCGTATTTTCTAGGCATCTTACTAATTTAATCCCCACAACAACGAGCTGCGGAGGTTGTTTCTCTCTCAGATTTCTGCATATCCTCTGTACTTGTAGGATTTGGGGGAACAAGTCAAGTTGCACAAGCTAATCCCTGAAAGGTGAGCCCCGCAGCCCCGCAGCCCTCTCCCAGAGCCGGTGGCCTGGGTGCCAGGTCCCCGACAAATGCTGGCTCCACGGCAGCTGCCATCACTTCCCTGCGGAAGTGCCAGTCTGCAGGGCAACCCCGAGGTCCTCGTGCGGGTGACCAGCTGCGGCACGGCCAGCTCGGCCCAGGGAGGGAGGGGCTGGGCCGCCCCTCAGGTGTCTCGCGAGGGCGCTTGGCGGCTCCAGCAGAGGGTCTGCATGTGAGAAGGTCGGGAAGTGCTGCTGCTTACGGGGCTGCCTTCAATTATTTCAGCTGCACCGAGGTATTTCAAAGTCAGACCAAATAAACATTTGCATCTAAAAAAGGCGAAACAGGGTCATTTGAAATAGAGAAGAAAGCCTTTCCCATATCCGGAGGGTGTGGCCCGACGTTCCAGAGCAGCGGCAAGGGTTCGCTCTGGTTTTGTGCCTGTGCCAGGGCACCTAGCCCAGCCTCTGCTTCAGGAGGGAAGTTATTTTCTTTTAAATCAAATGTGTGGCGACCTACGTTTCCTTTCCCTGATTTGCACCGTGGTCACCCTGGGCCCCCTGCTGCTGTCCGGTCCACATCTTTAAAGGGCTCTCTGTGCTTTTCCTAAGAAGGGGACCACAACACACTCGACAGTATCCACCGGTCGTGCCCAAGGCAGGAGGAAGGGCGGCGCCCCCAAACTCCCAGGCCGCCTGCAGCACCCTCCCTGCGCCCCTCTCCGCCTCTGGGGAGCATCCTGCCACCGCCCCAACCCCCCTGCCCCCACGCCAGCCCGCACCTTCTCACTCTTGGCCAGGCGCTCTGGAGACGTCTGAGAGCCAGGGTTTTCCTGAAGAGTCAGGATTGGAAGGTTGGAAGGCGGTGAGGGCATCAGGTTTTTTCTTCCCTTTTCTTCTAGCAATTACGCCCCCGTGGCTAAATTAAACTCCCATCGGCTAAATTAGGCCCAAAGGGAGAGGCACCTGCTGCTAAGCTGTGTGTGTTGTCCCCCTAGGACTTCCATCCATTGCTGAGCTCCTGACGACAGCAGACGACAGGCCGCACCCTGATCCCACCTGGTTTACAGGTGCTGTCACACAGGTACACCTTCTTGTGGATCATCAGTCACCATTTGCCCCTGGCAACAACCCTGTCTTGGAGGAAGGTCCTTGCCGACACCCGCCCCTCCCCACCCTTAAGGCTCCCTTGCTCCTTCATTCAACCATTGTTTACATTTCGTTCAGGACTGCTGACTAACACTTTCAAGCACAGCGGACCCTTAAACAACGCAGGTTCAAACTGTGCGGGTCCACCCACAGGGAGGTTTTTCTTTTTTTTTCTTTTTTTTGAGACGGAGTCTCCCTCTGCCCAGGCTGGAGTGCAGTGGCCGAATCTCAGCTCACTGCAAGCTCCGCCTCCCGGGTTTACGCCATTCTCCTGCCTCAGCCTCCTATGTGGTTTTTCAATCAGTTATACAGGCAGAGTATCCCTGCCTCTCCTGCCTCCCTTCCCACCTCCTCCACATCTTCCTTTCCGCCACCCTGAGGCACCAAGACCAGCCCCTCCTCCTCAGCCACTCAACGTGAAGATAACTAGGATGAAGACTTTTATGATAATGCACTTCCACTTAGTAAATACTTTCTCTTATGATGTTAATGACATTTTATTTTCCCTAGCTTAGTTTATTGTAAGAATACAGTATAAATACATATACAAAGTATGTGTGAACTGATTTTTTAATGTTACCAGTAAGGCTTCCAGTTAACAGTAGGCTATTTATTAGTTAAGTTTGGAGGGAGCCTGAAGTTACACAAGGGTTTCTGACTGCGTGAGAGCTTGGCTCTCCAACCATCACATTGTTCAAGGTTCAACTGCACCTCTCCTACCCATCTCCCCCGCCATCTGATGTAGTAAGATAAATATAAAAACACTTAGAAGCCCTTGAAAACCAGGAAAAATGCCACCAACAGACCAGAACATTGGCGAATTTCTGGAAGATATAAAGCAGAGGAGATCAGATTTGTGGTGAAACACATTACAGCCAATGGCATGCAGGTGGGAGACCATCTTAAAAACCCTCAAGTCTGGAAATGGGGTAGGGTGGGGGCAGTGGAGAAGGAATGACTCATAGAGCTTGGATGGGGTAATCACACAAAGGGCTGCCCAGGTGGCTGAGGCAGTGTCCTGCCTGCCCCAGGGTCAAGTCTGAGTGCAGCATTCAGGCTGAAGACAAAGATGCACCGGGAGCCTCCAGAGCCAACACTGGCCCAAAGAGAGAAGCAGGGGCCTGCCCAGGTGACTGCCAGGCACCGTCAGCCACACTGACAGGGAGAGTGGCCCAGATCAGAGGCCCAGGAAGGCACTCTGCCTTTGCAACCTCCCAGCCTGTCCCCATGACCACAAGTGCCCAGTGGTGCCAGGGTTGTCAGACAGTGGCGGTTTAGTTGTGTGCAAGAACTACTCCGCACGGCAAGAATGATTGGTTGAGACCGACAGATCGCAAACACACTGCACTCAGGAACCCTTCACCCCCTTAGAAATGGCTGAGGGTCTCAGTGGGCTTTCATTGATATGAGTTGTATCTATTGATATTTACGGTAGTAGAAGTTCAAGTGGAAAAAATTTTCAATATTCATTTATTTTAAAATATTAATAATGGCATGTTAACATAAATAACACTTATACAGGCTGTGTGCGGTGGCTCACGCCTGTAATGCCAGCACTTTGGGATGCCGAGGTGGGCAGATCACTTGAGGTCAAGAGTTGGAGACCAGCCTGGCCAACATGGTGAAACCCATCTCTACCAAAAATACAAAAATTAGCTGGGTCTGGTGGCGCCCGCCTGTAATCCCAGCTACTCGGAAGGCTGAGGCAGGAGAATTGCTTGAACCTGGGAGGCAGAGGTTGCAGTGAGCTGAGATTGTGCCACTGCACTCCAGCCTGGGTGACAGAGTAAGACTCCATCTCAAAAAAACAAAACAAAACAAAAAGCAAATAGCTACATTTTTTCTAAAAATAGTTTATTTAGTAAGAAGAGTGACATCATTATACATATGTGTGTGTGTATACACACACACACACACACACACATATATATATA